CTCTTAGGTTATTAATTAGGGTTCTAACACCTGGAAAAATTGTTCTCATTCTCCCCAAAGAGATCATTCACTCTCTTTTGAGAACTATTTTTCTCTGCTTATCGTTTTGCCCTGGAGATGAAAATGCCTGCTGCTGGAAGTTGTTCATGTGGTTTGAAGAGGAGAGTCATTCTTCCGTGTCCTCTGTCTTCCTACTATTCTCTCCTTACCCTCCATCCAATCTACAGGTTCTGAGTACTGACAGTGGAATTCTGCCTTGCAGACTGGTTTCCTTCTAGACTACAGTCCCTTTTGTGTGTATTCTAGGGTGTGTCTCTTGTCCATATGACTTGTCCCCTATTCTATTTGTAATTGCAGGTATACACATTCCATTTCACCAATATTTAGATGCACATTTTCCTCACTTTTTGACTTCTCTTAAATCAGAATATGTCTTATAATTGATAATGTTTTAGAATAGATTAAACCTTTACATTATTATTGTTATTTTTTAAATGAGGTCTGAAGTAAATAGGTAATTAACTCACATGCTCTGCCTGCCATCTTGAATAAAGTTCCTTTGATTCTAGTTTTGAAGTTCCTAGCAAAAAGGGTAGGTATGTATTTGACTAACAGAGATTAGGGCCAAGTCACTATACTTGGAACTACTGTCATAACTAAAGTCTAACACACCTTAGTATGTTTAGCACTTTATATGTTTTAATTTATGAAGAAGTTAAATAAAAGATACTACAATAGAATAAGTATAATATACTACAATAATATACTACAATAGAATAAGTATAATATATAGGAAGTCGTCAAGCAGAAATGATGCGAAAACATTTAAATGAATGAGTTGAAGTAAAAACAGTTAGTTTTCCTCCTTGGTAGTATATTGGCATTTTATATGATGGAAAAGAAAAATTCTTGTGAAGTGTCAGTCTGGGTTCCATGGGATGTCAGCTCCTTTAGATGCTCTCTGTCCATATCTATCTATCTATCTATCTATCTATGATTTATCTATCTATCTACCTCTTTATCTCCAACTCTATCAATATATAATTTTCTTTGTTGAATACATTTAAGAAACATGGCATGTGTTTCTTTCAGTAATAAAATTCACTAACATGTTAAAGACTCTGAAAAGTTCTGTAATAAAGGAATCTATTAAACATTGCTTAACCCAGTGTATCTCAATTTTTTGATTATAAAATTCTTCTTTTTGGCAGTATATGTAATTATACAATATATATTTAATTGGAATGTGTTATAATCACACAATTGAATTTATATTTCAAGAAACATCCTCAGATAATGCTGGTCTAATGGAATAAATAAATATTTGGTTTCTAGGCATGATCCCAACATAAAAAAGTCAGGCTTTTATCATCAGTCAATATTTTGTTTTTGTTTCCTCATTTGTTAATTGGAGTCTATTCTGCAGACCCTGTTCAAAATCTCTTTCACTTTCTAATTCTCCATCTTCTCCTATGTCACTCTTAGAGTTGTTTCCGGAATTACTTATGTTCTTTGCTACTTTTTTGGTATACTTTTACTACTAAAAATATTTCTTTAGATTTTTGCAATGAATTCATCAAACATTTTCATTTTATCTTGCTTAAAGCATACTACATTTTTGAAAGTTCATTAATATACTAGTTAGCACATGAAAAATAGCTGGTAGTGTTTCTTCGATTAATTTGTTGTTTTCTATTAGAAAAGAGAAAATGGGTGAAACAATGCAACAAGATATGCAATTACATGACCCTTGTCCTTTTGCTGTCTCTAGCAGGGAAAAGTATTCATTTTGTTGCATTTTATTTTCTGTAAAGGTATTAGGCCTTTGCCTCAAAGGTGTAACATCAGAATAACAAGACATCCTCTTTTGACTTATATCTGACCTTCTCTACATCCTACTCATCCTTTACTGCAAGTCAGCTAAATAGGCTGCCAGATATTGTTCTTTCAGGAAATTCTTCCTGGAATCCTTTAGTAAACTTTCAGAGGGAAGAGGCAAATAAAGTCAAATTTCCTTGAGGAATGCTGAACACAGGAATTATGTTAGTATCAATTTTGACTTTTTTCCAGAAATTTATCAGCTACTGATGTAGATACATTATGCTGTCTTGATTTAAATTGTCAATTGTTCTCAATTATGCCTAGTTTGAGCTGAATGATTTTAACCAGGCTCCTTTAAAATGGAATGAGGGAATGCTCTTTTATTCTAAAAAGAACTAATTCTAATATAGTTTTAGTTTATTGTCTTCCTAAGTGAATGATCAAAGTAATTGGTGATCATAAGTGCTTTGATATGTTATCATATGATGTTAACAAACAATAGGTCAGAATGTGAGAAAATAATTTATCTGCCATTGAGTAGCAATATTTTTGTGCTATGGGTACATTGTTAAGCAAACTAAAATAAGCAAATCTTCATGCCAGGGTCTTAGTTAATGTCATTTTGCTTGGCTTAGAAAATCTGAAACATCTCTGAGCAGACATATTTTAAGAGAGCATTAGGACATGCATATTTTTAGGATGCTAATAGAGACTCTCACCCCCTTTGGTTTTAGCTGCCAGAAATTATGATTCATAGTTCTTGATAGCATAGAACAGAAAACATTGTAAAGGGAAAGAAATTCTAACAGATTGCTCAGGAATGATTTCTGAGTGTCAGTTAATCAAACATTTCTCTTTCATCCCTTTAGGAAAATGCATACTTCTGTTTTGAAAAATGGATCTAGAAAAATCTTTATTTTTGCTTTCTAATAGCCCACAATTATTGATGAATTCTTAGTGGTATTAAGAAAACTGG